AAAACTGAACAGAAATTAGATCAGTCAAAATTTCTATGTTCTTAAAGTTTTTTTTTTAAATTATCAGCAGCAACCTTGATGGCAGATGAAGGGCCACTTAGCTCCACAATCTTCATCAGCCCACTCATGGTCTGTATTTTCCGTAATACAGTGTTGTGCCCCAAAAACGTTATTCAGGCCGCCCGGCTGCCAGTTCCTGAAGGAGCTTTGGCTCCGGTCAGACCAAGTCCAGGGGTTCCTGTACAGACCGATCCAATGGAATAGCATTCCTGTTTTTGCATTGTCGGCCTCAGTGTTTTCCGCCTCATTCTCAATCATGGCCAAGTCGGTGAAGTGTTCTCTGCAGTGCTGCTGAGCAGACTGCCATGTTTTGCTGGTTGGGATGTGGAAATAGTTTTTCTTGTTGTTCTCTGAAACTGCAGCAGAAAATAAACCACAGTGAGTTCAGTTATTCCTCTCAGATATTAACAACAGATGATCAGAGTTAAGATCATTGTATCATTCCACAGAGGGCAAACATGGAGGAAGAAATTAGTCTAAATTAAAGGAAAACTGAAATTAATAAATAAGACGGGACTTAAACATGTCAGTGAAATATTTCACTATAAGATGAACCGGCCTTATGTGAGGGCTCTTCCTGTTCTAAATCTTCAAAGTCAAATAATGGAAAAAAAATTCTGTAAATATCTGTATTTAAACCAGCAGAAAACACAGAGTTTCATTCATTTTGTGGCACACTGGAACAGTATTTTCATCGTTGTTAATGTTAGAATATCAGTGCCGAGTGAAAAATCTAGCTTTTCTAGTGCTTTCTATGTGTTACAGTTTATTCATATTACTGTAAATATTTCAGTGTTTAAACATCATCTACTTGTAGGCATGGACATTTTGAAGATTGGAAATATTTATACATATCCTTTAGAAAGAGTACTGTCTCCTTAAGAGGTTAAAAAAGTATGTTATTACAGATACGGGTGGACCGTGTGCTTGTGTTTAACTGTGGAAGGTTTTTCTTTTATTAACATTTGCAAAAACAAAGATGGACCTGGTTTTTAGCCATTGAATATGAGAATGTAACAATTTACAACCCAAACATGTGTAGAAACCAGTGGTTAAAAAATAATCTAACATAGTATTTCAGCGTTAAGAAGAAGATCACATTTCTGACTATACTTCTTTATAGAGTAGAAAATAACATAATATCCGCTGTCACATACAGCAATAACATAGTTTTTGTGCAAAGAGATTTTAGGTTTGACTCCAAAGATAGGAAACTGAAAATGAGCCAAAAGCACTTGATGAAAGCGAAATACAAACAATTTGATTTCAGTTTGTGCAGAAATGCAGAAAGAAAGATGGATGCCTTAATCAGAGCATGGTGGGGTATCATGTTATGTGGGGTGTTGTGGGACAGCTTTTTCACAGATTTCTGGATTTTCTTCTTAAAGCTGTCTGTTCGATTACATCGGGGTAATGTAAACCCAGCTAGTTCCCTTTTCTTCCAGATGAATTTGTTTGAAGAAATGGTTCTTAGAACAACATTATTTGTGTCAAACAGAGAGCAGTTTGTTTGTGTACAGTAGGTGGATTGAAACGCTCTTACCTTGACTGTCCTCTAGGGGTCCCTCAAGGCTCAGTTCTTAAACCAGTCTTGTTTGCATGACGTATTCATGAGCTGCCGGATGTCTGCACAAATATTCATTTGCAACTGTATGCTGACAGTGCAGTCATTTTTACCCATGCAAAACTAGTCCAAGGAGCACCTCTGATCTCCAGCATAGCAAATAGCTTTTTGATCATGTTTTCCTTCCTAATAATCTGGACTTTGTCATGTTTCTGGTGCCCTGGGTTGATTTTGAATTAAAGATTTTGTATTTTTTATAAGTGCATAGAGAGAGAGAGGGGGGGAGAGACTAAGGATTTCAGGTTTAAAAAACATTATCTTACCGTTATGGCAAAGAAATGGTCTTTGAACGTCACAGGAAACATCGTTCCATAGTCCAAAACCACCCATCACTGCACACGTTTCCTCTGCCCAGTCGTAATCTGGTTCTCCAGGGTACCAGTTCTGGTACCCGGTTCTGCTGGTTTCCCCGGTCGCTGACCACCTCCAAGAGTTGGTGTCACTGCCAATGGAGGTTTTCCAGTTTTCAGGGTCATCCCAGAGTCCGATCCAGGCCCAGGAATAAGAGAAATCAGCTTTCAGCCTGCTGAGGTCATCCATGCTGTCAAAGGTGGCCAGGTCGGTGTATTTCTCTCTGCAGAACTGTCGGGCTTCGGTCCAGCTCATTTCTGTGGGAACATAGTGGTACTGACGAAGGGGGGGCTGTGAGCAGTAGCTGAGGGGAAGTCCTGTGTATTGATGGAGAGAAAATGATGCAGATCAGTGGATCATTTGAACTAATTTAGACTCAACTGGATGGTAATTGATGTCACATCTGCATTGTGAGTTTATTCATCATCATTTGCGACATGAGTTGCAAATGCTGCTGCAAGCTGAGTGGGACTTCAAATGACCACTTCCCTTTTTAAAAACAGATTAGAATATCTTTCTTGGACAGAATCAATCAGTGATTGTTATCAGGTGAAGCAAAGTAGATTCAAATTAACTGATCTTCATCACCCTTCTGCTCTGCAGACCATGAAGAGCTCTTAAATGAGGTGTGCTGGAGCAGGAAAACATGCAAAGAAAGCAGACTGACTAATGTTACCTTCACGGTTCATATCTATATCTACATATACTACACACA